GATACTATTTTATTACGCCTACGCCTATTCAAAGCTAAGATTTAAAAAAATCTAGTATTTGCGTCCCTATAATTTAGCCAGTTTATGCGGGACTTCAATTTCCAGAATCTTCCTCTAACTTTAAAATGTCATTATAAGCCCTCATTAAGGAGGTCTCCAAGTTCTTAATAAAGTCACTAGTAGCATATCTCGGAGAACTTTATATTCCCTATAAACGTGCGCCAAAATTGATCTCTTCCTCTTAAATATGTTACCAAATTTATTGGTGTTCCACCAAGTTACATTATGCTCAAAAGTTTTTGTGGCATGCATAAGGTCCTGGGCATTCTGCCAACTATTTACTAACAATGTTCCTAGGTCTGGACTAGAACACCAAATAGCTTCAAACCTAAAAAGTTTCTTACCAATATTGGAAGGTTTTGTTAATTGAAGTAGTAAAGGGTTGTGATTTGAGCAGGTCTTTGGAAGATGGTTTACTATAGATCCCCAAATAAAGATACCCAATAAATATTTACAAAGATTGTATCTAGTCTTTCTAGAATTAATGAAGGGTTTCTCTTTCTATGATTTGACCGAGTGTATTTTGGTCCCTTAAATCCTAAATCCATTATATTATAATGGTTAATACAATTCTAGAAATAGTTTGCACGAGCGTTGTTAATGGAATTTCCACCCCATTTATCATTTGCACTTAAAACTTCATTGAAATCCCCTCCTATAATCCAGGGGCCTTGTAACTATCATACATGGAGTTCAGTTTATCCCACAAGACAAGTCTATGTTGAATACTATTACTAGCATAGATAACTGAAAATAACCAGGGCTTGGGATAGTATTGTACCTTAATCATAGCATGAACTTCCTAACTGGTAGTATTTACTTCATCAAGAGTCACTATGTTGTTCTTTCACATGACCGATATGCCTCTTGACCTACCATTTGCTGGCATCTCTATCATGTTTGTAAAATTAAAGTCATCCCTTAACTGATCATGGTCAACCTTCTTAGTTTCAAGAGAGCTACGACTGCTGGCCTATGGAAATCAAGGAGAGCTCTAAAGTTTCTCTTAAAGTCATCATTATTAACTCCCGTACAATTCTAAATAATAAAATTAAGGGACCTAGTCATGTTGGGGAATGGGTTGTTCAATGCCTCCAAAAGTAAAATATCCCTTAGAGTGGGGATCAAATTTATTGCATATTTTTCGATGTTTCTGTTTATTGGAGACCTTATGTCTATGGTACATTTCGGTAGTAGAGGGGAGCAAACTAGTAGATATCTTTCTCTTGCCTCTCCTTGAAGAGATGTATAGTTATATCTTCTAGGCTTGAAAGGGTGTGCGATAGTTTTAGGTTATGGCATTATGGTTGTTGTTGTTTTGTAGTGGATTTACTCAGTGAACATCCATTGCGACATTCTCCTAATTCATTGGTGGAGGAGGTGGAGGAGCCAAAAGGTTGATAATGTTGGAAAGAGTTAGATGATTGATGTAGTTGTCCATAGTCATCCCATCCCCTCGCTCACCATTTGGGCTAAGTAGGGTTGTGAATGATCAACATTATTTCTTGGTACATTATTTCTTGGTGAAGGTGGTCGACTGGAATTGGTGGTATTGAGAATATGAGCCGCATTTGGTAGACTAGTAGATTTATTGTTCGAGGAGGATCTGTTTGAGGGAAAGTTTGGAATCTTGGAATCTGGATTTGTAGTCGTTGAAGGAGGAGCCTTCCCTGAGCAGAGAATAGTGGGAATCTTAGTATTTTGAGAATTTGGAAGGTTAATATTAAGATTTGAAAAGACAGTGGAAGAGGATTGTAATGTCAATGCAATAAATTCAGTATCTATTTGCATTCCATTACTATGGCTTAGTTTGTTACAACTATCTTCTTTTAGGGGGTTAATATTTGTTTACCATCACTCTTGTCCGGATTGGTTTTAGAAAGAGGTTGGGCAAGCAATGGTATTGCCCATATTTTTTTATGGTTAACCAGGGTACTTTTAGGATTTGTGGTATAGGCTAATGTGTCAATTGATCCTTCCTTAATATTGGCAGGCATGAACACGTGTGCTATGTGTCATGCGAAGGTTTCTTTGGCTCTTTGGAATTATCGATGGGCTAACCAAATGATTTTCATTTGGCGTGGCAGTATTCTATTGAGGGGATTCCTTATTAGTTGCTAAACCATAATTAATATTTTGAAATTTTTTTTGATTGATAGCTACCATAGATTTTCCTACTTGATTTTGTGAGGAATTATTTTTTCTTCTATACTTGTAGTTTTGAGTTTCAAGGTACTTATCAGTTGATGCATCAAAAATCTTGACCTTAATACCTTGTTTGGTAGTATTTTTTACACGTGTCTGACATCGCCTGTGAGGGAGAGAGTTTTTGAGTTTTTTCCTTCTCGGAAATGAGATCGTCTGCCATCCCTCTTGGTGGTTGAGACATGTTTAGTAATGGAAGAGGAAGACTCAACATGGTTAATTGGATCAAAATTGACATCTTTACCTGTCGTTAGGGGTGTACATAGGTTGGGTTGGTTTGAGTTTTTCAATTACCAAACCAAACCAATTATCTCAGATTTTTAAATTTATAAACCAAACCAAACCAACAAAAGTCGAGTTTTTCAATCTCGATTTTTCTCGGGTTTTTCGGTTTTCTCGGGTTTTTCGAGTTTTTCTGATAAAACCTTCATAGCATAAAATATATAATGTGTGCTCTAATATTTCTTAGGTCCTAGTAGGATAAAACTATATAAGATGTTTTCCAAGAAAATAATACAAAATAATGTGAGATGAGTCATGATTATACTAAAATACTCAACAAGTCGCATAAAATAAATATTGTTAATTAATAAGATAATAAAAATAAACATAATCTAAAATTACTAAGTCATGCTAAAATAAGTACTAAATATTAATTACATGACTAAATAATGATAAAAATAAGTTATGCATTTTCACTATCTAAATCAATGCAAAATTAAAAGAATAACCTACTTCCTAATATTGATTGATTTTTTTTAGCATTAGTATTGGTTTATTTTGCTTTGGTTAATCACTTTATTTGAGTTACTAACTTTTATGAGCAATAAAACATATTTGGCCATTCAAAAGATCTAAGTCCTAGTTTGAAATAATACATTAAAGAGTGAATTATGAAAAAGTTTAAAAAAATATTTATAAATTACATTACAATAATTATTTTTATGTATAAAATATTTTTAAAACTTGTATACATGTATGTCGGGTTGGTTTGGTTTCGTTTTGACTTTTTCTAGTTAAAACCAAACTAAATCAATTATGGTCGGGTTTTTTTTCTAACACCAAACCATAGTCAGGTTATTTTCTCGATTTGACTCGGATTATTAGTTTGGTGCGGTTTATCGGTTTCCTTTGTATACCCCTACCTGTCGTTTCTTCCTGTAAGATAGATAGAACAAATGTATTTTTTGTATGTCCAATTCTGCCACAGACAGTGTATAAAAAAATTTCCCCATCGTAAACAATGGCTTATTTATGGTCTTCAATGTAGATATGATTTTTTACTGGAGTTTCCATAGGAACTTCAATGCAGAGCCTTGCGTATCTACCTCTCTTCTTGAGTAATTTTCCAATTCTTCCACCAATTTTCTCTAGTATGTTCACATCGTAAAACTATGTAGGCAACTGAGGTAGTCGTATCCTTACTGCAAAGCTGGTTAGTTTAGCTGCATTCATTACAAACTTTGATTTCCATCGCTTAACAGATAAGAAAAATCCATTAATGAACCAGGGTCCATTGTATTTCATATTTTCTTCCTTTAGGAACTTTACTGTGATGAAGTCTTCACCCATATCTGTAAGAGGAAAATCCTCACTGGTTTCCATAGACCTCGAATTCTTGTTTTGAGATATTTATGAAGGACCCTTTTACCAAACAGTTTGATGATAACTGAGTATTTCCAGTCAGTATATACGGGTTTTCATTTCATGTGTGATGCCTTCGTTGGGATTGTGTTGGTCCATCTCGTGATCGACATCTATTAGTGTAGTCATGTGTTGTGATGGGACCATTGATACTAGTTTTTCAAGAAAGGGTAATATCTTAACTTCCTCTATGTCTATAGATGATAAACCTGGTGGTTTGGGAGGGATTTTAAAGTGAGTTGCTATATTCTGAAGATTCATCATTGCTAGTAGTTTGGTGATGAAGTTTTTAGAGAGAAGGCAGAGAATCTCTCTAAGAGAAATGGATACTGTTCATCTTTCTTTGGTTTCATTTCTGATTAATAAAAGAAAAAGAAAAGCATACTATAAAGTAATTTCCAATTGACTTCATTTAATGAACCAATTTGGAATAATAATGATTTTTCACCTTGTTTTAACTCCTCGAAACAAAGCATTACCTTTTCTTTTTTTTTTGGCAAATATCACTTTTCCATGCCAGAAATTATTTATATCCGGTAGCCGAAAAAGCATATAAAATTTATACATTTTTCATATATAACATACAAAATGTATAAATATACAAAAAATATAAAAAAAAATTGCTATTATTTTAAGAGCGACTGTACAATGTCGCTGTTTAGTTGTTAACATTTGCCCAATCTTAACATTTTGTATGCCAAATTGACCTACTTACCCTCTTCTTTCACCTTTTTATTGGAATGAGAAAGAGATTGGATGCCTTCCTCTTGTCTGTCCTTCCAGATAAAAATGATCACATAAGATTTGAAACATTTGACAAACTGCATCGTTGTAACAAAGGAACATATTTGAGTTAGTTCTCAATGGTCACATCACCTCCGATCCTGGTAAGTATATAATGATAACAGAAAAGTAACATAATAAATAAAGAATTAAAAGGAATAGTGTGATAGGAAGGGTCGCCTTGTAGGAGAGCCAGAGGCATGATTCTGACAAAACGAACCATCTTGTTACCATCAAAAGTACATCAAAATTTTCTTTTAACCTTATTTACTTGGCTGTACAGTACCAGCATGTTAAAGCATAAAGACTTCAAACAGAACTCTCACCAATTGTCTTTATTATTAAAAGGATTGTCAGTATATTTCTCAACAATCCTAAAAGTGATTAACCAACACCTTTTTTAGGAGAAGAGATAGCAACAGCAACAGCAACAAGAGCACTTCTTTGCAAACTAGCAGACGCTAATTCAGTTAGGCTCAGACACAACAGTACCAAATGACATCCAAGGCATAAAAGAGTCTTGACGCACAACAATGCAAACGCGTTCTGCACATGGCAACAGAATGTTACTTGGAATGACATTTATGACGGACACCAAATCCACCGTATGTTTCATCAGAAGACTGCATGACATTTATTATGTGAGGAAAATCAGCAGAAGCTTTAGTTACATGAGTTCAACAAAGAGGATCTATTTATAACAGACGACTTCTCCTCTTCAAGAGAGTGTGCTCAGCCATATTCATTTTGCCGAAGAACAGTCTCTACTGCTTTCCGTTCTCCATTTCTGATCGGCGAAATTCTGCACAGTCGGACCATGCGCTGCCCGAAACACGCAAATACCTCCACCAATCAAGTAAAGAAAACTATCAGAAACCACAAGGGTAAAATCCTACCCAGTAAAAGATTTTAGCTGCCATTTAACAAACAAGAAATTTTGCCTTCTGCAGCATTTACATAGTCTTTCCACCACAGCAGTGTGATTTCTCGTACATCCACTCTCCATTTCCTAGCCTTGGCATTCTACCTGAAAATGGACCACCACCAACTTCAAGGAGCTGTACAACTTATATTTAGTCTTTTCCTAGTCTGGTGCGGGAACATACACAGATCTATTTCCTTCAAACATGTTCTTCCATCCCCTTCCCTGCCAGTACGATGAGCTTCTGGACTTGCAATTCCAATCTACCTGCCTAGAACCCCACGAGAAAATTCTTAAACAATGTTACAAGCCTTTGCACTTCTATTTCAGTCCTCTGGCAGGAATTGTAGCCAGGCTCACATGTTCTTTCTGGTCAGAAACAAGTCAGGGGGGGAGGGGGTGTTATGTGGGGGAAAAAAAAATTGTGAATAAGCTTAGAAACTCAACCAGGGTCCTTAACCATTACTTTCTCCATCCAAAATAAATATTCTTACAATATGTGGAAGAGTCGACAAAGCGAAATTTCAAAGCCAACACGACCATTAATTTTGAACAAAAGAAATATGGAGGTCCAAGACTTCTACCAGTTACAAGGATTCAAAGGCCAAAAGCGTTTCCCACATGACTTTTACAAATTAACAGTTTAATGAATGGCAGTTGTGCAGTTTGGATTGCAAACTAGAATTACAGTTATAGTCCCTGCTGCTCTCTGTTTCAATGAAGGTACATAAACACAAAATAAAACTAATCAACACGGCAGAGATGTAAGACAAATCTAACACTAGTTCTTTCTTTCAATGATCAACAACAACGCAGTGAAATCCCACAAATGAGGCCTGGGGAAGGTAAAGTGTACGCAGACCTTACCCAAGGTAGGGAGGTAGAGAGGTTTCCAAAAGACACTCGGCTCAAGAACAGTGAAAATGAAGCAATAAACAGACAACCTTCTTTCACCGATAAACTTTCAAAAATAACACTAGCAACAAACGAAAGATATTCCCGGTTTTGCCTCTAAAAGTACCAAGGGAAGATAACAACAAAACCATTATATCTTACCACAAGACTAAAAAAATTGAAAGAACAGAAAATTAATACAGCCTGAAACATATAGGCTCAAATTAAAAGCCCCCATCTAGAAAAGAATGCACAAGATATCATATAGAACATTTGTACATCTCTAGCAGATGAGGGCAGCAAAGTACCTTACTGGCTTGGGCAGACAGTACGAGTATCTGAAGTACGGAAAATAAATTTGAAATTCTATGTATGCCAGGTTGTAGATAAGCTCCTCAACCTGCTTTCCTTGATACTGCAGTGACATTTGCAGATTTCAATTCTACAGTAAAAATTGAAAATTCTCTAATATAAATACGAAAAGAAACCAAAAAAATGTAGATTTGATTGTTTGGCAAGCAAGCCAAACGGGTTATGGGTATAAATGTTCCCAGAAGTGAGAACAGATTATACCATAAAACAAAAAGTCACAAAACAAAAATGAAAGCAACCACCAAGGCACTCCTACATAGGTAATCAGTCTCAAGGAGAAACAGGAGTAACCCAATGCATCGAGGAACAAGCTAACTTACATAGATAGTGTCAGCAAAAATAACAAATCAACAGTTTCTTTTCGGGGAAGAAAATTAAAGTTTTTTTTTGTACGTTAACTAATCAATAGTACTTAGCAAGATAGAGATCTTATTTTATCTTGCTCGGCAAAACTTATTAGATAGAAACCGGATAATACTTGCAGCCAGAGCAGAGTGGACTCTGCCTCTGTGACACGACCTAAAGCCAACATAACTTTGGAATAAACTTCAAAAGACATAACCTAAACCAAAATCTTAAGATAACAATGTCATCCACAAGAGGTGATAGTTAACATCATGTGCGTGAAACTTCATGTCCATGAGCAAATAAACATAATACTTAACAAATCTTATATATTTGGTAATAAATCCCACTCAGAGATGCTTCGGATGCACCTTAGCCTTACTTTTCACTGGCATTCAGTCATGTCTACATATTATTAGTAACTTTTATTATCAATATTAATTTAGCAGTCAATAAATTCAGAGAGACAACCTTAGTCAGTCCCTAAAACATGAAATGAAAATCATTCCTACAGAAGAAAACAATCACGCTGCGTGTTCATATTATCACCATAAAAGCTGGAAATTGAACTTCCAAAGTTAAATCTCTTAAACAATTTCGAAAACTTCATCATGATCGTCATCACATTTGAAACTGGACATCAATAAGACACGGCACAGAGTCCTATAATCATTCAGTACTAAGGTTTATCATCAAAAATAAATAAAAATCAGCCATGAGAGATATATTACTCCCTCCGTCCCAATTTATGTGGTGGTGTTTGACTCGGCACAGCATTTAAACAAGAAAGACCTAAAACTTGTGGTGTAAAGCAAATCATAGACATTTTTGTGGCTGTAAATCAATTCATTAAGGGCAAAGGAGGACTTCCAAAGGTAAATTGTTTCTAAATAGGGAAAGGTGACATTCTTTTTAGGACCGACAGGAAGAGTGCCGTATAAATTGGGACGGAGGGAGCATGTGTCATAATCATTTGTGGTCTAGCATTGATGTACTCATGTAGAAGGAGAGTGCCAGAAGAAAGCATGTGAAGTAAACAATAGTGAAGTGTCAAGTTGCTAACATGGGGAAAAGTGAAACGTTTAATACTGATGGGAAAGCAGATATGTCATCTTTGATTACTATCCATGTATCTAGAGATACAATCATTACCTTCAAATGTGCAATAATTTCAGTGAATTCTTCGTCAATGAAAAAGCTAAGAATTCCCCATCTGCTTTACACCATCATCTCTTGCAAACAGAATATGAAGATTAAAATCGACATACTATAAGTACGAAACAGATCCATATGTTTTGAGTAACAAAATCAATTTCAAGAAACTGTTTACACTGCCAATAGGAAATATTTTACATACACGAGTTTCAATTGAAACTGTTCCTTAATAGGTAAGCTCACTATGCCACCCCTGCCATGCGTGCAGTCTCAAAGAGTTTGATAAGGCACCAGCACCCAGTAAGTCAACCTGCAACAGATCTGATAATGCACAGCCAAAAGAATTGTTTCTCGATCTAATTGTCAGATAAGCCTGCTAAAAAACAGCTGAACTGATCGTCTTGCAAACAATTTTAGCAACTTCCTTTCAATCATAGCTCTCACCTCAACCACGTCAACCCCATGAGTATTAGAGAAAGCAAAACTCAAACAGTTACCGAGCACTATTCACTTATCTTAGCCAAACAATCCACCAGTTCCTAACATCCCTTGCTTCAGCTCCTTTCTTCGCTGCTCCTCAAGAGGATCTGGACTCTTCATTACTCTTCGCACACGCCTACAAACAAAACATAGAAAATCAAATAACTGTCCAAGGGGCTAAACATCTAATAATTAGCATTGACAGAAGTTTTACCTATCTTGTGCATGCTGTGCAGGGAAAGTAGGCATGAATTCTTTAGACTTGGGGAGAGGAACTTCACGAAACCACTCATGGTTTAAAGCAGCATCGGCAGTTATTCTCTGCAATGTCACACAAACAATAATCAAAAAGGATAAAGACAATGAAGTACAAAAATTTGATGTTCCCAAATGTAATGGCCATCACCTTCTCAGGATCATAAGTTAGAAGCTTATTCAACAGGTCAAAGCCGGCATCAGATAGGACTGGTAACCCCGTGAAGGATGTAGCGGGAAATTTTTTTCTTAAAGAATTAAACCTGACACAAACAAATCAAATGGTTAGTAGACACATGAAAATATTTTTCCAGTAATAGATTGTCATCAAAGGAGGCCAGAAAGCCAAACCAGAATCACCCAAAGCTGGAAGCCTGGGAAAACAGTGGCAAAAATAAAAAACATGAATCTCCAGCCAACAAGAACAGGGATAGAATATACAAGAAGATAATACTTACTGGTACTTTACAAAGTTGACCTTCACCCCAGGAAGTTTAGAAAACCCTGGCCATATTGTCTCATTTGGGGTTCCGAGAATTTTGAAAATCTGGTAAGAACAATCCAAGAAATGCATTAAGCTGACTTGTAAATGATATCCAACATCACGTAAAATTCTCCATAAGCTAGAAAAGATACCTTATCGATTTGATCAACTTCTGTTTTTCCATTGAAAAGCGCTTCTTTGGATAGCATCTCAGCCATGATACAACCCAGTGACCACATGTCGATTGCAGTAGAATATTGTTTGGCTCCCAAGAGAAGTTCTGGCGCCCTGTATGCATAAAAACTATTCAATCACTGGCTGAGAAAAGCCAGATGGGCGAGAACTCAATAGAAACCTTCATCTACATACAGACACACATCGACAGAAACATGAGTATCTACTTAAATATTTTCAAATTAATGAAGAACAAAAAATGAAGCTGACCTGTACCACAAAGTAACCACCAAATGAGTGTATGGTTTCAGGGGGCTCCCATATTGACGAGCTAAACCAAAGTCACAAATCTTCAACTCACCTCGGTTGTTTAGAAGCAAATTTGAAGTCTTCAGATCTCGGTGAAGGACCCAATTATCATGAAGATACTTGATACCCTGCAAAAGCTGGAGCATAAGACATTTGACTTCACTTTGGCTAAACGGTTGTTTCATTGTCTCCATTAATGCCTTCAGATCATGTTCCATGTACTCCATCACCATAAAAATGCTGTCAAGACTGCTTCCTACAACTACTTCTTTAACATCTACAATTGAGGGGTGATGAATAGAAAGAAGAATGTTTATTTCCCTTAGAGATGTCAAGGGAAATCCTTCTCGTTCCTTCTCCATCTTAACCTTCTTTAGTGCAACAATTTCTCCTGTCTTCTTATCTCTAGCTCTGTAAACAACACCATAGGTACCTTCATCTATCCTGTTAAGCCGCTCGAATTCATCGACACTTCTACACCCCTGCAGCATGTTTACGCTCCTTTGTGGAGGAAGTGCAGGCTCTGGTATACCACGAGAATCATGTTCATCTTCAGATTCTGTATCTGACTGGCTAACACTAGTACCATCATAATAACGGTCCTTATCCACATCCATTGAGTCATTCTTATCTAAATCATTGTCCTGGTAACTATCTCTGCTGGAAGACCTAATATGTTCATCTGAATCTGAGGACCTTGCTCTATTTCCTCCAAAGTTGTCTCTCTTGAGCTCCCCAAATTCTGGAGTTAGTGATTTCCTGTGTCCACCCATTTCAGCTGACTGTGAAACTGCTCGTCGCTTCTTCAATCGAGGCATATCATCATCTGAAATCAAACCTTCATCAGCTGGAGAGTCAGCGTCAGTTGCCCATCGAGATGCTCTTATAGTCGGCACGTATTCATCTTCTTCTACTATCCTGGCATCCTGCTCGGGCAATCGCTCTTTGTCAGGAGGTGGTGAACCTATGTCAACTGGGGATTCAGATGCATCAACATGTGAACCAAGTGCTGTATTTGGATTATGTTGGGACGGCCCCATGCTCTGAATAATATTATTATTATTATTCAACGGCGAGACCTGCTCAACCCTTTCTAAGGGAAGGTTAGGCGACTGGACAGATGACTTTGGCAATGGAAGCGGAGGAGGTAGCTTAGCAGCTGCTGGTGAATTTCTACTCTTCGACATTCTATTCGCTTCCTTTTCATCCCTATCCCAGATAATTGGAGAGAATTTTCGTTTCTTGCTCTGTACAGGTGACTGGTTCCCATTGGCCGCATTCTTGGTCTTCCGGTCCGAATCAATAGCCCCATCAGACCCACTCTCACTAGACAGTTCCCCAGGCTCTCGGTCAACAGCCCTGACACTAAACCCACTTCTCCCCGCTCCACCATCACTGCTACCAGAATCACTCCTGCTTGACATGGACCTATAACTGCCATTTATGACCTCCCTTTCTTTTACATCCTTCTGTCTCAACCTACCCCTATCTCGACTACTCCTGTCGTGAACTTGATCCCTATCAAAATCCCGATCAACGCTCCTAATTCGATCATAATCCCCCTTAGGATAACCAAGCTCCCTCCTTGAAACCTCGAACTCAGCCTCACGGCCCCTAAATTCATTATCCCTGTAACCACCATGTCTTCCAGCAGCCATAAGAACGTCTATGTATCAAAGAAAACCTTAATCCACCTATAAACCCTAACCCTAATTTCACAAACAAAGTCAACAAATCCTAGCTCGAAAAAAAACGACTTAGTTGAAAAAACAATAACAGATTACAGATCTGGTAAAAACTAATCAAATATCTAAAAATCAAATTGAATTTTTTTCCTTTTTTTCCTTTTTTCCTAATTTCTTTAAAAAAAACTCTCTAGAAACGACAGATAGAGACGGCGAAAAAACAGAAACCCTAGAAATTGACGATTAGAGTGTAAATTTACGGTCTTCTCCGGTATGTTATTGCTGAGATCGGAAAACTTACCGGTGAATCGAAGCAACCAGAGGCGGCGGCGACGAAGCTTTTACAGAGAGAGAAAAAGAGAGAATATGTGAGTTGTATTGCAAATTCGGAATATGAAAGCGAAGGGAAAGTCCCCAGACCGCGTAAAGAGGAGTTTTAGATTAGCTTCGAGTATGTTAATTGCAATTAGACCCCCTATGTTTATCAAATTGTTTATTTTGACCAATACATTTTCTTGCATGTCTCTTCAGCTACCGGAAGTCGTTCTCACGAGTTTAAATTTCATTGGGTAAAAGTAAATTACGAGGCTAATAGATTTTATGTTTTATCAAATATAAGTGGATCAGACAAAAAGGAAAATTTTGCCTGGATTTATTTATAGAAATGTACTGTTTTGAATAGTTTATTTATTTAGCAACATTGTCTTGAAAAACTCTCTGTCTGAGGGTTGTTCTAGTGGTAAGCATCCTCCACTTCCAACCAAAAGGTTGTGAGTTCGAGTCACCTCAACAGCAAGGTGGGGAGTTCTTGGATGGAGGGAGGAAGCCGAGGGTCTATCGGAAACAGTCTCTCTACCCCAGAATAGGGGTAAGGTTGCGTACACAAAAATTCTCCTCACCCTAGAAAGAGACAATCCTATAATTGGAATAGAAAAACTATTCAGATTGGAATAGAATAATTTATTCCTAAGGGATCATTGGTAAGGTGTATAAGAATAGTATTGAATATGGTGTATTAGTAATGTTTAGTTATATTGTAATTAGTTATGCTGGGATTATTTTCTATCGACTGTTTGATTTTATGTATTTAAAATAACATGCATTGCATAATTTTTTTAAAAAAATTGTTTACAAACATATGCTCCACATTCTTTAGCTTTGTATACTTTCTTTGCAAAGCTTTAGTTATTCATTCTAAAAACGAAAAAAAAAATATTATTACGAGAAAGTACATCTTGTGTGTATTTATGTTGGATTTTAACCCATTTTTTACTTTCTTACCCGAAATAGTCATTATCGTATATAATATGTAAAATTTCTTTCACTAATTAGACTAAAATAAAATACCCATCTTACGGACATTTCTCAACTCTCAACACACCCAATTCTCTTCCCTTTCTCTAACGCCTCTCTTTTTCCTATCTCTAACCCACCCAGATTTAAATCTTAAAAAATCTATAAATATAATTAAATTTCTCTTCAATTTTTTAACAAAGCCACCATAGTAGCTTCATTTATCTAAGGTCCAAATAGAGATCCACATGATACAAATAAAAACTTCATATCCTTCTCACAAACCAAAAAAAGAATAGATAAAGATAGAAGTTCAAAAAGCCTACATATTCTGGAATAAGGTCCTCAGGAGCCCATTAATGGTGGAAAAAAGGGGGCGTCAATATGTAAGAAGAAAAAATAATCATAGTTGCACTCACAAATATTGCCCAAGATGACTGATTACCCTCTTACTTAAAGGTCTCAGCATCATTTGATAGGGGTTTCACTAGTAGCAGCAGCAAACTAAACTTTATGTTATTGTTGTGCTTAGTGTGACGTGTAGGCGAGTGTAATGAGTGATGTATGTAAGACGATAAGGTAAATTTTTAGATATGAGATCTAAGTTGGAAAGCATTTGTGGATTTTTGGCATTTTTTGCATCTTTTTTTGTGTCTGGGGTAATTTTGGTATTAAAATAGAGGTGTAGTGGTAGACATAAGATATTTTCTAATATACATACGATGTAACTTGTATTTATACATACTTACACAATGTTGTATAATTGTGTATATTTGTGTATAATGTGGTATAATTATATATATATTTTTAGTGTATAAGGGTGTATATATGTTGCTAGTGTATAATAAGCCGCCATAAAAATTTAACACTTTCTTCTCTTTTTCTTCTTTTTCTTATTTTTCTGGTATACATTATTATGCATTCCATATACAAATTTATACAAAGTTCTGCATCATTATACATGTACTGCATATGTACAGTTAAAATTGAAATTGAGGATTTTGTGTTTTTCTTTATTTGTTTATCGAACAATCGATTTATAAAGTCGATTTTCTTGTTGATTTCTTTGTTAAATCATGAACATGCATCAAATTTTTTAAGCTTTTGTTTTTTATTTTTGCTATTTAAAACTTGGGGAATAAGAGATTTTAGGATTTTTCAAGTTGAATTATGGATGGTATGCCTTTTTAATCAAACGCCAGACATACTTCCATAAACGCTTGAACAAAAACTGGGACAGGGACATTGTGTTGGATGATTTAGAGCATTTCGAGAGTCGTCACGACTTTGAGTATTGTAGGCATATAAGAGTTAAGAAGGTCGAAGGGTTTATGTGGAGGATGAGCAGGGGATGAGCAACCGAGCCATATGAGATTTCAGTGAAATTTCGGAAGAACACGGGCAAGGCAGGCTTAGAGTGGCTTGGTTTATTCAATGCCATTTTGAGGAAGAAGAAGATGATCCTTTTGTACAAAGGTGATTTCCAAAACTGTAACAACCATGTGGACATCAAGTTGCGAAGCCATCCTATGAAAGTCTGGAAGAGGGTAGTGGAGTTGAGGGTGAGGAGGAGTGTGTCTATTTTCGAGAACCAGTTCAAATTCATTCCAGGGCTTTCAATTACAAAAGCTATTTACCTTGTTAGGAGATTGGTTGAGTAGTACGAGGAAAGGAAGAGGGACTTACATATGGTGTTCATTAACTTAGAAAAGGCTTACGACAAAGTCACGAGGGAGGTCATATGGAGATATATAGAGGTCAAAGGTGTATCTGTTGCATACATTACGGTGATTATGGACATCTATGATGGAGCTAAGACCCAGATGAGGACAGTGGGAGGAGATTCACATATTTTCCAGTTTTGATAGGCCTGCACCAAGGATCAGCACTTAGCCCATTTGTATTTTCCCTGTAGATGGAAACTTTAACTCGTCATATTCAAGGGGAGGTGTTATGATGCATGTTATTTGTAGATGACATTGTACTGATTGACAAGATGCGAGGTGGTGTTAGTGGGAAGTTGGAGGTTTGAAGGCAGACCTTGGAGTCTAAAGGTTTTAAGTTGAGCAGGACCAAGAAAGAATATATGGAGTGCAAATTCAGTGATGTGATCCATGAAACGGACGGGGATGTGAGGTTTGATACACAAGTCATCCCAAAAAGATGAAGTTTCAATTATCTTGGGTGAGTATTCCAAGGAAATGGAGACATTGACAAGAATGTCACACATCGTATAGGAGCGGGGTGGATGTAATAGAGGCTCGCTTACGGTATTTTGTGTGATAAGAATGTGACACCAAAACTCAAAGTTAAGTTCTACAGAGCAGTAGTTAGACCGACTATGTTGTATGGGGCAGAGTGTAAGCTAGTCAAGAACTCTAATAGCCAGAAGATAAAGGTAGCAGAGATGAGGATGTTGAGATGGATGTGCGGGCATGCCGGGATAGATAAGATTAAGAATGAAGTTATTCGGGTCAAGGTGGGTATGGCCCCTGTGGAGGATAAGATGCGGGAAGCGAGGTTAAGATGGTTCGGGCATGTGAAGAGAAAAAGCACAGATACCCCAATGAAGAGGTGTGAGGGTTGATCTTGGCGGGTCTTAGGAGAGGTAGAGGTAAGAAAAAGAGGTATTAGGAAGAGATGATTAGGCAAGACATAGAGATGTTTTATCTTACCAAGGACATGACCCTTGATAGAAGGGTGTGGAGGTCGATAGTTTGTAGAAGGTTAAATAGTCAAGTGTTTTCCTCATCCATAACAGTATTATTAGTGTTAATCTTGTATTTTCTTAGTCGTAAATTTTTATTACTAGTTATTGTTTCTTTCGCTTTGATATTTTTATAAATGATAGCTCGTGTTACTTCTTGTTGCTATTGCTTTGTTTTTCCTCTTTCTTTGAGCCGAGGGTCTATCGGAAATAGCATTTCTATCTTCTCTAGGTAGGGGTAAGGTCTGCGTACACACGATCCTCCCTAAACCCCACTTGTGGGATTTAACTGGGTTTGTTATTATTGCTGCTTAATTTGTCAACTCATTTGGATTTAGAAATATAAGAAGTTATTTATAATTTTTAGAGGGAACAATAACAGTAGTTGGTTATGTGAAAAAAACTATTTTTCGGATCTTGGCCCCTTATCTTTTGAGCTACAAATTTGTAAAGTTATAACTGGGCCATCTAGTTGCAATATATGTGTGTAAGTTGTGCTTGTGTTCAATTATCTCAAAAATAAATGTGATAACATATATTTTTAAATCTGGTAACATCTCTATCTATTAATTAGAAGAGATATTTGGAAAGTAGAAAATCTATGGTTACGTACATTCGTGATGTATGACTTAGTACGAAAAGGATAATGATTCTTTGCGACTACTTATTCCCATCTTATATGTACTACTGAAAAAGAAGGATTATTGAAAGGGAAGAAAAAAGCAGAAGAAGAAAGAAATTAAGGAAAATGACTAACAATTAACAGATGACGCATATTTTTAACTGTAATGACCAGATAAGTTGTTTTAAGTTCTAGCTTTCATTTTCATGATTTGAGGCATTGAATAGCTTCATTTGATGTTTCATGACCTGTGTGCATGGTTCGTTTCGATTTTCGTAAAGCTTAGATGTGTTTTGAAAGAGAAATTCTAATTCTAGAGCTTTAATGTTATTGGAGTTGACCATGAAAAACATTCTTGATAAACAATCTTAGATTAGTGTTTTGACGATTCTGGTAGGATCATATGATGATTCTAGACTTATACGTATGTTTAATTTGGTCCCGAGTGACCCTAGGCCGTTTTCGTGCTTATAATCGCAAGTTGAAAATTTAAGTTATGAACATTTGAAATCCTTGAGTTTTGATAGTTGATTTTTAGTTTTGATGTTATTTTTGATGTTTTGAGCTTACAAGCGAGTTTGTGTGTGATTTACATACTTTTTGGATGATTGGATAAGATCCCGAGGGGCTCATGTGAGTTTCGGATTAGTTTTGAAATGTTTGATAAGTTTTACCATTGTTGGTGCTGATGTTGTCGCAATTGCCATGATCAGCTCGCAAATGCGAGGTTCGCATCTGCGAATGTCATCTCGCATTTGCGAAGTTCTAGGGGGAAGCTCAGTA